AACTACTGAAAAAAATTAATTAGAAATAGTTTTTAAAGATAGAAAAGCAATGCCATAAAACCCAATACTATTGACATTAGCATCAAAAAACATATTTAAGGACACGTCTGACAAAACTGAAAGAAATCTGTATGCTGCTACTACTGCAAGCAGCTGAGCTATATAAAAATATTATAGGCAGTCAGACAGGGTCAGGCCATCAAGGAGACAATATGGAAGACAAGGTGACTTCGAAACTTTGGAAGAGGCTGGGGAGATAGCTCAGTAGGATAATTGCTTGACTGCAAACGCAAAGATCTGAGTTCAATCCCTGGTTCCACCAAAAAAAAAAAAAAAAAAAAAAAAAAGAAAGAAAGAAACTTTGCAAGAGACAGACTCCTGCTGTGGGCAAGACCTCAAGACAAAAGGAGTAAACAAATGTAGCCACGTACCTCCCTAAAGACAAGACCCAGGACTAATATTCTAAGACGAGTCTCTCTCACCTTAGCCTGGAAGTCACTAACCCAACCCCCTACAGAAAAAGTCCCTTTTCTTGTATTCATGCCTGATGGCTACATGACTTGCTTTCCCATTTGGTCCCAGATTTAACCAATTTTACCTGAGCAATTGTGCTTCTAATCTCATTGGTTGACCCACGTCATGCGAGTTCCCATGTTCTCCACCTGAGACCTGCCACATGGTTTTACTCTATAAAAATCCTTGGAAGACACAGCTTCTGGGGCAACCTGCTCAGGTCCCCCTTCTGTCCCTTTCTCAGACAGGAGCTTTCTTTCCCCTGATAAATATATTCTCCTCTTAACCTCCATTGTTCCTAAAATTCAATCTTTGGTTTTAGAGAACACAAACTTGGGGGCTGGGGAGATGGCTCAGTGGAATAAGCGCTTCCCTGGCAAGTGCAAGGGCCTGAGTTCAATCCCTGGTTCCACAAAAAAAAAAAAAAAAAAAAAAAAGCGAGAACACAAACTAGCCCAGCTATCTTTCAGGTTGAGAGTTTCATTCCCCCATATCACAAGAGGCTGAAGCAGAATGACCATCTCTAGTTCAAGGTCAACCTGAGCTACACAGTACAAAGCCAGCTTGCAAAGCTACATATAGCAAGACAAAAACTTTTTTTAAAAGTTCTCTTCAAAAAGATATTGTTACAAGAATTAAAATGCAGGGCAGGCCAAATAGCTCAACAGATTAAAGAGCCAGGGGTTCATCCAGGGCCTGTGGTCCCGGCCCCACCCCCGGCCCCACCCCCACCCCCGGGGCACTCTGAGACAGCAATTGTGACTGGGCGTGGTGTCCCACACCTGTAATCCCAGCTCTTGGGAGGCTGTAAACAGGTGGACCACTACGAGTCTGAGCTTGTAGTGAGAACCTGAACACCCGGTAGACTCTTTCCCCTACCAAAAAAAATTAAAATGAAAGCCACAGACTGGAAGAAAAGGTTTGCAAAAATCATGTATCTGATAAAGGACTTACATCCAGAATACAGAAAAAAACTTCAAAATTCAACTCCCAAAAAAGCCAGTTAAAAATGCATAAGTATGCTGAATGGACCCAACACCAGAAACACACGCATGGCAAACAGACGTCTCAGAAAATGCTCAGCATTAGTCACAAGGAAATGCAAACTAAAACCATAGTCGGATACCATTAGATATATCAGGATGTCTAAAATTAAAGAGACTAACCATACAAACTGTTGGCAAGTATATGAAATTGGTCAAACACTTTGGAAAAATGTCTGACAGGTTCCCCCCCCCCCCCTTTGGGTTGGTTTTGGTTTTTCACACAAGGTCTTGATACATATTCCAAACTGGCCACGAACTCACTATGTAGCCCAGGTTGGACTTGAACTTACGGCAATCCTTCTGCCTCAGCCTCCCAGGTGCTGGGATTATTATATGTGTGCCATCACACCCAGCTGTTTTTTGTTTTTTTTTTTCAAATCCTGGTCCAGGTCCTTGCTGTTGTTTAGGCTGGCTACAAGGTCCTGGGTCCAAGCTAACCTCCTCCCTTTGTCTCCTGAGTTACCTGGGCTATGGATACATAGGATTCTGTAAAGCTTTCTCTCCTTCTTTGAGACAAGGACTCACTATGCAGTTCAGGCTGGTCTTGACTTCACTTTGTATCCCAGGCTGGTCTGGAACTTGCAATGATCCTCCTGCCTTAGCCTCCAGAGTGCTGGATTACAAGCGTGTGCCACCACACCCAGCTGTCTTTTTTTTAAATTAATTTGTTATTTTTTTAAGTTTACTTAAATTGTTCATTAAAACATAAAAATGATACATATTAATGTGGTAATATGATTGGTACATCCATCAGTTTCTAAAATGCCGAATGTTGGCTGAGAGCCTTTTTACCAAGATGGTGCTGAGGGAAAAAAGGAAGCCCATGCCCCTCCCAAAGCTGAAGCTAAAGCAAAAGCTTTGAAGACCAAGAAGGATGTGCTTGGGGCCAGGAGATGGCTCAGTAGAGTAAGCATTTGCCTGGCAAGTGCAAGGGCCTGAGTTCAATCCCCGGTTCCACCAAAAAAAAAAAAAACTGAAAGGCATCCACAGCCACAAAAAGAAGATACGAACATCACCCACATTCCGCCCCAAGATACTGTGGCTCCAAAGGAGCCCAAATACCCCCCCAAAAGCGCCCCCAGGAAAAACAAGCTTGACCACTATGACATCATCAAGTTCCCTCTGACCACAGAGTCAGCCATGAAAAAGATCGAGGACAACAACACACTTGTGTTCACTGTGGATGTCAAAGCCAATAAGCACCAAATCAAACAAGCTGTAAAGAAGCTCTATGACATCGATGTTGCCAAGGTCAATACCTAATCAGGCCTGATGGAGAGAAGAAGGCTTGTGTTCAACTGGCTCCTGATTATGATGCATGGGATATTGCCAATAAAATTTGGATCATCTAAACTGAGTCCAGGTGACTAATTCTAAATATATACTTTTCTTCCTCAGTAAAAAATAAATAAATAAAAAGTTCAATATTCACCTACCATAAGACTAGCCAGTCTTTGGGATTTACCTGAGAAAAATGAAAGTACTATATATATTCACACAGAGGCTAACACAAACACCTTTATTGTAATACCAAAAACTAAAACAAACTCATTACCAAGTAAATGAGTAAGGTGGCTGTGACAAGAGACTATTCAGCAATACACAGAAGGAATACTGATATGTGACAACACAAGTGAATGAAAAAGTAGGCTGAATGAAAGACGCCAGACCAAAAAAGGGCGTGCACTAATTGGTTTTCATTTATACAAACGGCTGGGCAATGCAAATATGGGCAGAAGACAGAAAACAAACCAGTCTACTAGCGGGGAAGAGGGACAGCACAAGAGAGGTGGGAGGGACACCTAAGAGACAAAAGAAAACTGCTGGAGGTTTGGGAAGACAGGACAGGTTCACTATCTTGATCACAGTGGGAGTCTCCTAGGTATGCGCATATTAAAACTTATTACACCGTAGCTTGTAAATGTGTGCAGTTTACTGTGGCACTACACCCCAGCAAAGCTTAGTACACACAAAAACAAAAACATCTCATCTTCCAAGATAAACCCATAGGGAGGATAATCTTGGGTTTAGGCAATCAAGGTCATCTAGGTCCTGGAGCACAGTGGCCACCTCCCCAGCATCTGCCAGCCAGAGCTCACAGCACTCAGAACCCTGCTGTGGGGAAAGATTAGGTAGCTGAAGACAGAAAACCAAAGCCCCGGGGCACTATCCTACCCAAGAAGGTAACACTGCTAGTCAGACTATCATCAGATCAAAACAAACCTATCCAACAATGCCAAAGCCTTTCTTCTCCTACCTCTAGTCCAAGGGTCATCCTCTAATGCACGGCCAGACTTCTGCTTGCAGGAATAAGCTGAGAACTGACAATTCTCTCCCCTGAAGCTAGAGCACCAGAACCCCCCTGGTCATTCCAGAAGAGTCAGGCAGGAGGACACCAATCTGAACTTCCGGTGTGCGAGTGTTTGGAAGGCAGCGCGACAGGCACGGGATGAAGCTGACAGACAAGTTTGGCTTTACCAGAAGCAGGCTAACCGGCTCCTCTGAACTCTCAGCCACCACACCATGCCACCACCACCACCCCCCGCCCCCACAAGATAGTGCAGTCTCCACTCCATGTGGTACAGGTCAGGGTCTGAGAACCTCAGAGCCAACAATGGACAAGGCCAGATGGGTCCCAACCAAGACCCCAAGGCAGACCGGGACTGTGCATCCCTCCCCACCCGAGGACCAGTGAAGCAAGAGCCCTGGCAGCGCCAGGAAAGAGGTGAACAACAGGAGGAAGCCAGGCATGGGCAGCCCTGGCACCAGGAAGCCAAATCCAGCCCCATGGCCCGGCCCGTGAGCTGAAGCAGGGCTTGGCCAGTGCCAAACCCACAGTACCTTGGCAGCCACTTGTTACCTCCACAGTCCAGCAGTGCAGTGCGTCTCTGCCACCCCTTTCCAGCTGGCATTCCAGGTCTCACTCAAGAGACAGGACTCACCAACTGTTTCCACTTTCTTGCCCACCATCCATCCTTTGCTCTGGGCCCTAAGGACCAATCAACCTTGGAAAGATCTCATGGCAGGGTAAGCCAAGTTTGTGCCCAAACCACTGACTGCCACACTCCCACTGAGGCCATGTGACTCACAGGGTAAGCCTCCAAGTTGGCAGCTTTCCTGCCCTCTTCCTTCTCTGCAGGACCACAGGCGACCCCTGCTGATTGCACCACACCAGCGATTGCACAGGGCACCCCCAGTTCTACCACCACACTGGCAGGGAGGTAGGTGGCTGTATGCCTGCAACTTCAGCCCTAGGGCTACCCCCTTGCTTCCCTGTGCCCCACCTGGCAGCCACCCAGGCTGATACACGTCCAGTCTAGACTGGAACATAGGTGCTCTGCAGCTCAGGGCCTGTGGTACAGGACTGGGGGAGGTGCCCTGCTGTTCCACACCACCAAGCACACCATCACCGTCAGCAAAGATCAGAACAGGAGTTCTTACCTGCCTCTTTCAGCTACTTTTGGTGAAGCCCAGGCCGAGATAGATGATCCCGCAAGCCAGTGCCTGTCCTCGGGCGGCAGCTTACAGCAGCATTCAAGTTCGCGATGCCCACACCCCGCAGACCTACATCTCGCGCTCCCCGCAGTATGGTGGGGGAATCTTGGCTACCACCTCCTCCTCCGCCTGCGCCTTCGGGTCCTGGGCCCCTCTGGGGGCCCCGCTCCCTGCGGGAACTCCTTGCCGTCCAAGAACGTCTCCTGCACCGCGAGAACCACCTGACCCTCCTGCACCCCAGGCAACCAGTTTGCTTCCTGCACCCCCAGACGCCCCTCCCCGTCAGGCCCCCAGGGCCCCACCAGCCGGGCCCTGCCCAAAACCTCTGGGCGCCGCTCCCGGCTCTCCCCGAAGAACACCGCCTCACGCCTTAGGTGTGCGCAGGTGCCCCACGTCCCCTCCCCGGGCTCGTCGGGACTCTCGAGACCCTCCTCGGGATCCGGCGGCCGCAGCAGGCGGCGCGGACTCCCCTCCCCACGCTCCTGCACCCCGGCGCGCGCCTCGCCCCGCTCCTGCACGGCCGGGCCCCCACCTCCCTTCTCCTGGTGCTGCCGCCGCGGCCCCAGCCCCTCCTCCTGCGCCACGGGCCGGCCCGCCACGCCCGTCCACCGCACCGGGCGCCCCCCACTCGCACTGGCCGGCGGTCCCCACACCACCCCTGGGCTGGGCTCGCGGCCGCGGCCGCCA